AGAAAACCGACGACTATTACGGCCTTTTGCGTTGGTTTCAAACAAAAACGTCGTATCGAAAAATTTTAACTAAAAATACTAAAAACCATTTGCCCGAAGAAAAATGCGAAAACTTAATTTTCATGGCTTCATATTTCACTTGCCTGAAAGCTTTCATCGTCATTTCTCCTCGGGCTTCCAGCGAAACTTCCCAAGTCTAATTTTAGCAAAGACTAATGTTCCCAAGTGATGCCATTTTAATAACGCATGAACCCAGATGTTTCCCCATTTCAGAAATTCATCCATTTTACATGGGCAAGGACCGGAAAACTCTTCCGCCGTAACAAACCTCTTCTCCCTGGAGGAATCCTTAACTTTTCCGAAGAAAATAATGGGCCAGAGAGCTGAATGTGTCCATCTGTCCAGAATAGAAAATCCACTTACCGTCGAACTAGTTTGCGGATAATCCACTGGGACGTACGTTTCTGTTGAGGATAATTTTGTCGTCGAAGAATCAGTGGTGGACGTGGTTGAGGTGATGATGGTCGTATGCGAAGTTGCACTCACACCTGCTGCTACAGCCATGGATTCCTGCTGAGGTGAAGACCTGGGAGGCTCTAAATAGAAGCACCGTCGTCACAAGGGAAAATAAATACACTTTTTGAATTTATAGGTCACAAAGCTGAGGGAAATTAAAATTTCCCGGCCAAGATCGTCGCCTTCAGTGCAAGGAGGGCGACAAACAAGTAAAGCATTAGTGTGGAAAATATCGAACAAATTCATATCGTATGACCCGAAGACCTGGAATATTAAACTAGCGGTTTTATGGATCTCGGTCCAAACCTCTGGAGAATTAGGATTTGGTCGATATTGACTGTTCATATAAATGTATCCTTGTGTTGGCCACAAAAAAAAGTTGACCGGATGAAACCCGTTTTATTAAATTATCAAGCTTTGGGATAAACCATCTTTGGACATGGCAGCTTTCGATTTTGCGTTGCTCTTTGATCTAAATGAAAGAAACCCGCAACTGCTTCTGGCTATTGATTAGCTTCTCGGTAAATTATTCAGGACATAAATCTTACCCAGGGTCCGGAAGACGATAGGCCTGCTTCTGTATTTCCTTCCTCCCCACACTGCGGATACGGTTAATTGGTATTGCGTGTCTGGATTCAAGTTGGAAAGGGTCACCGCATCGCTGTTTCCAGCCACAATTGCCACCACCCTGTAACTAACAGCATGCCAGTTCATCAATGCTTATAACAATTGATTGAGAAACAGCATAGTGTTACCAAAAATTTTTGCAAATATTCAAAAACTATGCTAGCTCGGATGTTGTACTTTTACGGATTCAATAGCGTGAAGCTCACCTAATGTTTGCTAGAAGTTTCAAGTTGATCACATCCTTAGGGATTTTTTAACGAATTTTTAAACTTGAGGTTCTCGTCAGATTTCATCGATTTTTGCATCCCTTTCAAAAAATGTCATTAACTCAAAAGTAAAAACTGCTTAAGAGTGCCTGATTTTTGAAGCAGCAGAAAAGTCATGTTTAACTTAATTTATGATCAAAGTTTGAAATTGATGCCATCTTCAGGGATTTTTTCAGGAATTTTCAAACTTGAAAATGATGGCGTCAACATTGACTTTCTAACGCATCCCAAGAAATTATCTTTTATTCAAAAATTTGAAATGCTCCAACCACATGTGGCATTGAATTCTGCAACACTGCCGAGAAATACGCTGAAAGTTTCGAATCGATGATATCTTCAGGGACTGTTTTATGCACTTCCTAATGAGCGAGATGACAAAAAGCATTCATGGATTTTTACAAACATTCCTTCAAATGTAAATTTCTCCAAAGTCAGAAAAGGTAGACAGCTGCTGATTTTTGCTATACATAGCTAAATGTTTTGCGAATCCGTACTGAAAATTTCAGGTTGATGACTTGTTCAGGATATTTTTCATGAGTTTGCAAACTTGAGAATTTTTAGTCGAATTCTTGTCTTGACTGTGAAAAGTATAACGTTTCAGAAAACTAAAGGAGTAAGATTTTTAATAAAAAAACATGCCTAAAATCCAATGTTGTAAAATCTTGAAGTTGTTTGCACCTTTACGAATTTTTCAAGAATTGATTGACCTATGAGATTCGAGTCAACTTTTATCGATTTCTACAACCATTCTGAAAAATATTAATCGCTCAAAAATAAGAAGCGCTAGCAAATGAGTTGTTGCGTTAAATGAAGCAGGTTTACCTTAATTTGCCCTGAAAGTTGCAAATTCCAGGAATTTTCAAACTTCAAAATGTATAGTCAATATCGATTTCCTGCAAAACCCGAAAAAACTTACTCTGGAAAATCAATGATTTTACGTTATCGGTTTTAAATCGTTTAACCTTCGCTTAATATTTGCTGCAAATGTCCAATCGATCAAGGATAGTTTTATAAATTTCCAAACTTTTATAAAAAAATTATTCGACAAATTCAGCTTTCTCCAGAACCAGAAAAAAATGATAGTTCCTAATGTCTGCATTAAATAGTTAAAATTATAAGTGAATGGGCCGTAATAGTTTCGAATTGATTATTTCTACAGATATTTTTTCGTAATTTTGCAAACTTTAGAAAGTTTAGTCGATTTTTGCCGTCACTATAAAAAGTATAAATTCTTCAAAAACTAAGCGACCGACGATATGCTGCATTTTAGGGCCAGATTCTAAATTTATGACACCTTTCCCTAAAAGTCGCTAGTTTCTGCATTAAAAGGTTGTGCTGTTAAAAGAATGTGCTCTAAAAGTCTCGAATTTATGACTTTATTAGGAATATTGTCATGACTTCACAACCTCCACAAGGAAGGTAAACTTGATGCATGCTCGTACATTGTTAAAAATTTCAAGTTTTGAAGAGCGCACTTTCAAAACCAACCACGAAACGTCGAAAGCGCGTCTAAAAATATCCGCACTTGAATTACAATTTGTATTTGCATAAGTAATGAATAATTCATTTGTTTCCGCAGTCGTTAAAGGTGGCACTAATTAAAACTGTACGTAAAAACTCAGACTCAGACAGTAAAGAGAATTATAGGAGAATAAATTTGCTTTTCCCCAGTTTTCCAGGCTTTTTGCAATAGCTATAAACACGGCAGTAATTAAATGCATAAATTATTGAGACATTTTTAGCATGAACAATTTTTTAAAGGGAAATCGACCTATAGAGCCATATTTGTATAACACAGAAAACAAAACCTTCATAACAAATTCAATTAAATGAAGTTTCAAGTGATACTTTGAAGCGTTTACTTGCTTGTTACAAGCTAATAAGAACTCGATGTCGAAACCCTTGGTGATTTCCTTTGGGAATTTCAAAAATCTTCGAATATTTGCCGGAAAAAGCTCCGAAACGAGCGGTTTCAAGCTTAAGGAACTCATAAAATGCCGCCTGGTTTCATCTTTTTCGGCCGTAATTAGATCCTAAAATAGACAACAATTTCCCGATGAAAATAGCAGAGTTGCTGTCGCTCTCACGGAAATTTTGCATCAGCCGGGATGTTGCTGGATTATTTTTATGGCCCATAATTTAACCGAAAATATCCGACAGCAAAGTCGATTGATTGTTTGCCAATAGCTTCGCAACGCTTTCGGAGCTTTAAATGCGCTTGATTCGATAAATCAAAAATGGTTAATTCAGTTATTGCATTTAAGCGCGAGTGAAATTTATGGTTCCATTTTGGAATTTTTCAAAAAAATTGTTGCTGAGATTCACTTGAGCTTAAAGATTGCTAAAAACACTGGATTTTAGAATTTAATTTTCTTTATATGCCACTGAAATTAATTGAAATCTTTAATCATGAAAACAATTTTTCGCAAGCAATTATATATGAAAATCTAATGAAGATGTCTCAAATTCAGCATCATTTTCCTTGCAAATAATCATAAGTGGATACACAGACACGAGAGAACACTGAACTAAAAAATGGGAAAAAGTTACATGTTTATTACTCTATCAAAGGCAACCAAATTACTCAAAACATCTAAACTTCTATACTATTTTTAACCAAAAATTCAGTTTTTTAAGCTATAATCGCCGGGTTGATTAACTGGCACTAAAGTTATTTTGAGCGGCCGATTGCAATTTAAAAGCTTTCCGCCTATTAGGTGTTCCGGTTTTATAAACCCGCAGCGGATTTAACTCGATTAAGCCCCAGAATGTTCCATCATTAAACAACAAGTACTCGGGCCGAAGACATTTTAAACGCTTTTTGTGGACTTCCGATCCAACAATCCTGCTCCAAAAACCCTACCTGGAAAATTGCTTTTAGAGTATGTTTGCCGAGGATGTACATAGTAAATGACGACTATTGATTCCACTCCCTCGGTTTAATAAATAATCGAAGAATTAGGATCCCTGCGAAGAGTTTTCTGGAAATTAATAGCGACGAACTTGTTTCCTTCAACGAAGCTTGTGGTTTTATTAATAATGTAGCTCGACGGAGTCCAAAGGAAATAAGGGTGTAAATAACGCATGTAAGAAACCCCGTAAACGCGCCCGGGACTGGAAAATATAGGGGGATTGCTCAAATTTAAATTTGATAAATTACCTGGCATCGGTCGGTTTGTACGTGATATCATACTTGTCGACGTTGCTCAACGTGGTTGCCCAAGACACCCTTACAGTAGTCGGGTTTAAGAACGTTATCGTGATGTTTTCTGGAGCACCAAGCCCACCGGGCATCGAACCTGAAACAGCAAAAAACAACCTTAATTTTATATACTACTTTTCACAACATTTCATTGTCTGCAGTAATAGTTGGATCTTAGTTTTCCTCAAACTAAATCTTGTTGTTTTGGCTCTTCGATGCCACTGAGCCAGCAATTTTTGCTCTCCTTTGCTCTCATTTCCTTGCAGAGTTTCTTTCCAAGATTTGTTTTGAAATCCAAGCAGATAGCATTATTTTTTGACTAGTAGAAACTCATTTTTAAAATGGAACATCGGATTGTTGTGGAATTGAAGAAAATTCGTATTTATAACAGTTTGGAGCGAAATGGGCTTAAGGGCGGATCCAGGGGGGGGATCCCCATGGGGGTCATGACCTCCCATTCAATTCTCTATCCAACGATGCCAAAACGAATTATCTGGCTCGAATGGTTCTTGAGAAACTTCGAAAAAAGCAGCGTCATGTTCAAGTGGAGTTTGCAACTCAAAAAAAACCCACGCAAATCTAAAACTTCTTGAATTTAAGCTTTTTTTGAGAAAACTGCCAACATTTCCCCACCCAT